TTTTCCAACCTTAACGATTCTATGATTTTCTGGCAGAGATTCTCTATGCAGCAGTTTAAGTACAGTTTGCTGCATGAAGTTTCTGAAGAATGGCCACATCTCCTGGGTTATAGAGTTCTTGTCCTCCCTAAGAAATCTTTCAAGTTGGAATACATGCATGGTTGAGAGTGGGTTTTTGTTTGCTTGTTTTTTGAGTGTTGTGGCTTTGCTGCTGTTCTGTTTGGTTTTTTAACACAAAAATCTGTTACATCATTTTCTGGTTTGGGTATACTGGAATTAATCATACAAATGTTGGTCAGACTGCTGTTCCAGCTAGGCACGACAGCCAGCTCTACATCTTCTCAGATTGCCTTGAGCATTTTTATAAAGGCTCTCCTCTAGGGTCTTCTTTAGATGGGACTGAGTATACATATTCAGGACCTTTGCAGGGCCAAGGATAGTGTAACAAACCATGTGAACTCGCTATTTTTTGGTACCAGGAAGAAAAACATTTGGTTACCCATCAAAACTATCAACAAAGTGGTATGTTTCAGATTAATTCCAGAAGAGTGGAGGACACCCAATTTTCCAGGCTGATCCAAGTATACGAGAGCAAATACAAGTTGGTAAATTGTCAGAAGAGGAGGAATTAGTGTTGCATCTATGTACACTGTTCCTATGAGAAAATGAAAGTAGATTGTAAAAATGGTAGTCAATACTTTCAAATAAGTATATAATACCCCAGCCTATCACTGCAGCAGGTGTCTTACATCCCCTTGCAATGAAAAGTATAATATAATATATTTGCATAATCTAGAGGAACAAGGATTGCTTAGTGGAGTATAAACTCCCTATATTCATGGATAACTTAGTTTTGAATGTAGCTATCTCATTCCTTCAACTATACTAGCAGATGTCCTGGATTTTGTTGTGTGTCAAAAAAGATCTTGTGTCAAAAAAGATCTTGTCTCAAAAGTGTACTCCATTTGTTCCAACCCCCAGCTTTGAAATTAAAGCACACATCACATTTGAAATAGTCAGGAGAAATACCTCAAGGCCCTAAGAAAACACACAGAAGTAAATCAGAAGAAAGGCTTCCTGGATAGACACTAGAAGTGAATCTTAATTACAGCTGGGAGAGTCTGCCTAACCACAGCATGACTCTGGAAGGGTTTAAGGATCTAAATAAAGCAGAAGGACTGGGGAAATTTCACTCATGGGAGTCTAGATTCCTTTTTAGGACTGACAAAAACCAGGTGGACCTGAGCCTGTGGAGTCTGAAATGAAAGATAGTTTGGAGCTGATATTTCCTCATGTCCAGAAGAAAACACCACTTCTGAGTCCTTCCCCTCTTGATAATTGCCTGTCCTTTCACATGGTTGATGCTTACTTAAAAAAAAAAAAAAAAAAAAAACCACAAATACAAAATTCTTCCTATGAACCTTGCTCTGCTTTCTACACTTGCACATACGTTCTTATGTGTTGTTAGCAGCTTCCCTCCCACTTATGCAAGTATACACACCCAGCTGAGACTACAGCCACTAGCGTGCACCAAAATCTATTAGATCCTGTCCCAGGACTGCTCTACATATCGTTTTCCCTAGGTATGTCCCCTTTTCTACTGGAATCTGCCCAGAGGGATTTGAGGACTTGATGTATCAATGCAGGATTTCTGGACATTGGATCTCTGAGACAGCTAAATTGCTGAATACCTAAAATTTTCTGGCGTGTTCACTGTATGTAGGGTCAAGTCAGAGCCACTGCTCAAGCTAACCAGTGACAACACACCTATGCAATTGGCTCAGGAAGCACTGGACAGACCTCCTGTGTGCATGTTCATTCCCCCTGATAATCCTGGGAAACACGACACCAGCATGCATGTGTACTGAAATCCCAGACAAACATCAGGCTGTCCTACCATACCAACTCACATCACTGACCTGTCCAACAAGACTTATTTAGCTGAAGTCCCTGTTCTTTCTACTTTCTCCAGACAAATCATCATTAGCCAGTCCCAAAACTTCACAAAGCCTGAGCAGAAAGGAAATGTCTGCATGTGGAGTTTCAAAACACTTTATTCTCCCTTCCCAGGGCCTTCCTCCTTACAAGGAAATTTCAGAACTGCTGTGTCATGGGATACAGAATAACACATAGCCTAGAGCTGGGATGATTTTTTAATGCTTATTTAGCTGTAGAATTTGCTTTTAGGCTGTCTTTTATGAAATTTCCTAAACTATGTGAGTGTAGGTAGAACATGACAGATACACATTTATAAAGCATGATTCATGAAGTGGGAAGTGAGAAAGAGAGTGCTCTTAATGCATTAGCAGCTGCACCTTATTCAGGGCCTTGTAAAGTGCAAGGAGTGGGGATAAAGTACTAGTGCATCAGGATTACAGCAGGCACAGTTCTCCCCTAATTCTCTGGGGCACGGGCAAAGCAATTGGATTGCCTCATTCTTTTTGTGCCTGCCATAAAGGTGTCAGAGATTATCCTTTTTCTATTCACCCAATGTAGGGATGCATGCAAAGAACAATGATGCTTCCTGAATTTCAGGGGCTGTCTGTTGTACAGAGCTTACAATGGTCTTTTTAGACTTTTCCGTTATTTCACGCAGCTATTGCCAACGATGTATTGTAAGGGACCCCTATTACAATTTGCGGAGTAGGAGCTCTGTGGAACTCCCAAGCTGCCACTGAGAAAAGAAAAATGCTAATTATAAGCAAACCCTCTTGTTATTCCAAATACTGACTATATTTTCATTTTACTCTGAAAACTGATTTGAAAAGCACTGTGCCAAGATAATGACCATTCTGTAGGCTTTTCCTGTCCCTTGCAACTATACCAACTACTCTCAAGATGAAATGCATTTCTTTTGTCTGTATGAGTTCACTTTCAATGAATTATGGACAGGCACAGTGAGGACATTTGTACAAACATCCTATTGTATCAGGGCAAGTTCCAGACACTATAACCACAGAATGCAACTGTAGGCTGAAAGGAAAATCACGTCCATAAGTACTGTGAATGTCTTTGCCTTTGACACAGTTCTTCTGTGAAAGTAATCAAAATAAAACTGAAAAAACATCCCATCTTAAATGCCTAGAAATTAAATTCGTTCTTCCATATTGTAAAGTAAGTCAGTCTCCATAAGCAACTCAAACCTTAATCTGTCTAGTTTCCATGAGCATTCAGAGATTGCCACATGGGGTTTTTTGGAGGGCTTATTTTCTTAATTACTCTCTCCCTCCCATGGACCTTAGGCAGACTATCATCTTAACGTGCTAACAAGTGGCAAGTCTGGTGGATGGCTCCCACTACCTTCCTAACATTTTCTTACCTCAACAGAGCTATTTGTTGAGCCTCCTGTTGCTGTGTGTCTGCTGTATTGTTTGAACTGTTGCAATCCATCCTGCACAGCTTGCACCACTCCATTTCCCCACTGCGGGAAACAGCCTTCTCTTGGTAGCGAACGGAGCTCCGAAATGCAGGCTTGAATTCGTGCAAAGTTTTCTTTCACTTGCTGCAAAACAGTATTCAATGACACTGAAAGACTGGAAATGTCAAACTGATAATATGAAATACTTTTCCATAATGTGGGAGGAGGCTTTTGAATTCACAGCACTGAGATAAGACTGGAGGCAGGAGCCAAGTCATAAAGCAGGGAACGGTGATATGAATCAAAACCAGCTGATTATTATGCTAGTAACAACACACACGATCATTCCTCAAGTTTTCAGCTGTCTACCTGTTGCCTGCTGCTAGCCAAAACGTAGTAGTTCAGCATGCCCCTCCCCTCTGGTCCTGCATAACACAGAGGCAGAACTTGAGACAGAAACAGGAGCACTGAGGCGGTGTGATATCCCCAGGCCATAGTCACCCCTGCCATATCCGTACTCCTTTACTCGTCGAGCTGTGGACCTCTGACACCTGCGTTCAGGAGGGTTAGAGTCAGACTGTGGCAACAGGTTCAAAAAGGGGTTCCACAAACTCATGGGTAACAGGTCCAGAAGCAGATACCAAGAGGAACAGCCTCAAATGTATCCTCTATCATTCTTAATACAACAGCTGTGGAACTAGGGGAGTGTGAGGAGAATGAACTGTAGAAAGTGATTGGGCTGGGGCACTCCCCCAAAATAGCCTTTCCTTTTGATACTGGGCTGACGGACTGTTGGTCTGACTCAGGAGGGCATTTCTTATGTTCTTATACTGCAGGAGGGTCTGTGGACCCTCCGGCTTCAAAGATGAGCTACCAGAGCAAGTGTTAGAAAGGAAAAATTACTCTATAGCTGTCATTTGTAAAAATGTTTTATTCCTTCAGGCTACAGCTACCACTGTACAATGGCTGCCCCGAGGACAGCTGGTCTGACTCATTATGGCAAGATGAACATTATAAATGCACAGATTATTAACCCATTGTGCTCCACTATGATGCTTTGTGTCAGTCTCATGGATTGGAGGACATTGGGCCATATTCTCACTGCCCGCTATGGTG